TTAATAAAAAAATTAATTTATTTTGAAAATAAAAAATAATTTTATGATGATGTAATATGTAACATCTCGAGTTTTAATTCCCTGATTAATTAAATTTAATTAAGGTAATTAAGTAAATTGAAGTGGTATGTGGCTAGAGAGGTCTAATAATCTTGTTTGATGCTATTTCAGTCTTAGTTGTGGGTCCGATATCAAAGCGGGCTACTCGGGCATCAAAAGGAGAAGAAAAAGAAGAGTTAAAATTGCTATGTCACACACCGCGGCGCATAAATCATTCGTTATGGCGCATAACCATCTTCGAGCAAAGGAGGACCTCTCTGTGTCATGCACCGCGATGCGTTGTGCGTCTAACCACTATGCATAGCCATTTTCTGCACTTTTTAGACGTGAAAATAAAATAGAAAAAGAAAGAAAAGAAAGGAGAGAAAGGAGAGGCATGCTAAAGCTCTGCTAGGATTTGCTTAGGGATCACTTTGAGAGTATTTTGATGGCTACAAACACCCAAGATAAGTATCATACCCATTAATCTCCCCTTTTCTTTCACATTTATGAGTTTATGGTTGGGGTTTGATAGTAAAAGTGGGATTTCAGTCCATATAGGTTATGGGTCCGAATTTGTTGACTCAAATGGAGTTAATGGGGGTAGATTAAAGTATTTAAACCTATGTATGATAATTTTTGATGTCTTGGGTTGTTGCGCGCCATAAATGTCCGAAAATCCCATTTATTATGGGTAGTTGGAAGTTTGTGATGCCATTAATGGGGAGTTAATGGCTCATCAATGCTATTGGGGGCTAAAGGTAATTATTAAACTTAATGGTTAGGCTCCACCTCTTGTAAAGTGAAGGTTGGGCCAATTTAGTAGTAGAGATTGAGGGTTTTAAATGGTTGAGTTTGTTATGTTGATGGAATTCAAATTGGTTAATTTTAGTTTTGGCTCTTGGTCACTTTTTAGAGTGGAAAATCTAAACTTGGAAGTAAATTGATTGAAAGGTAAACCTTTGACCTCTCAAAAGTTTGAATCCAAGGAAAAAACTCTACTTTGGATAGTTGTATGTTAATTAATGGTTAATTGGTTGTTGAGTGTGAGATTTTGAATGTTACATGCATGAATTGTTGTTGTTTAAGTAAGAAATAGATATTAGCTTTTGAGTACATGAAAAAGCTATTTTTAGGCTTGAAAATGCAAGTGCAAAGTTAAGAGGATTTTATTATGAATATGCCTATATTTTTAGAAATGAATGTGATGATGTGTAGAAATAGTTTTGTGTTAATAAGAAATAAATTTGAAAGAAAAGGATGAGAATACACACTTGGATAGTGCAAGGTCATGAGCCAAATGTGGTTGTGGTATAGTGAGTAAATGAAAGCGAAAAAGTAAACTCAAGTGAGTAATGATTATGGCATGATCAGTGGCGGGAGTTTGCCTATGGATTTGGGGTAGAGAAAATTCATATGGTAATTAGGTTGCCCTCCGGTGCATGGGGGCTATAGCCTTGTCCTACTGTTTTTGAGGGACTGTCTTATAGTTTGTCGAGGGACTAGAACCTAACTATCTCCATCGGTTCAATGAGGAGAGTAGCCTAGGGTATGAGACACCTAGGGATTCGAAAATGAGGGAAACTATGGTCCGAGAGTGAGTTCTGTGATTTTTAACCGGGTCATACCTCACAATTAGTGAGTTTAGGTAGTCCAGTCACACTAATGGAGTCCTAATCTATGTTATAGCCCACGATTTCAGTCTCAAGAAATAAGAAGGATATAAGGTTGGTTAATCATTGCCTAAGTAAATACATGACGTGTCACACATGCTAAGTGGTGGTAGGTCGCCAGAGTATGGGTCTTCTCGCATATCTGAGAATATAGTGATAATGCACCTAATTATGTGAGTAAAGAAGCTCTAGGGTGATAAATGATAAAATGTGACATATGGGCAAATGTTTATATAATTTGATCTTGTTGTGCATGTATTTGTTTTATAATTGATATATAACTGCATAGGGTAGGTTTAACCTTGGTTTCTGAGTGGCTAGACTCACCTATCTTATTTAATACTTTTGGGCTCTAGCTCTGGTGTTGAGAGGAGAAGACTAAAGAGGTGGGGAATTAGTACATTCCTTCTTGTATGCCTCTAGTTTTAATGTAGTTGTGTAATAGCATATGTTTGCCAATTCTAGAATGTATATTACCCATACTTGCACTATTTTGGTTTGAAAATGTTAAAATTGTATTTTAGGCCCTTAGCCTTTATGTAATTTTGTCATATATATGCTTATAGGGCCAAAATACTAGTGCAAGTGTAGAAATAAAGATTTAAGCATGTTTTAAATGATTTGAGTTGAATGAAATGTTAATTTACCTCCCCCTTTGTTTTTGTTAAATTCGGGTTAACGAGTGAATTTCAATTATAATGATGTTTCGATGCTTGCAATGTGTTGTACTGGTAGTCCTAAGTTTATTGAACATGGTCTAGGTGTTAGAAAAAGCTTTGGCAATTGTTGAGAGTTTTGGACACTCATTTTGTATAAAAGTGTTAAAAAGTGGTAAAAATATGTTTGGGTGTTCAACTTCCTAGTGTGATGTGTTTTGGAAATGAAACTCATGCCATTAGCTAGTATAAGAAAAGAGCTTTTTATAGATACTTAGATCACGTCATTCGGACATCAGACGAAGAATCGGTGTAGTCAGAAGTTTTTTGATTCTACTGTCAAATTGACAATAGAACTAGTGAAAATTCATGCAACACGTCGCGGCGTATGACACCTGAGCTGCAACACATGGCACAGAGAGCAACACACCATGGCGCATAGTGCGCCCGCCGTGGTGCATTGCTCTATATTTTAGGACATAATTATTCTTCATCATTTTTCGACTTCTTTCACTTCTATGAGATATCTCATGCTTTCGAAACTTATCTTTACTCTAATGTGAAATATTTTTATCGATGTTAACTTGTTTTTATTTAGAAAAATTTGGGATCCTTTATTTTTGAATTAAAGACTTGGTAATCACTCTTTGGAGATAATTTCTCGATTATCATGAGCTTGATTTATTAAATGTATTTAGTGGAGTGAGATAATACATAATGGATACTTACTATTTAAAATACATAAAATACAATTAATTGTATAAAATTATTTGCTGTGAGATTGTGAATTAAGTCACAAATGTAAACTTTTACAATTAGTAATTGAATGATATTTTATTGGTTATTTGAAAAATTAAATATATAACATATGTAACATATAAATAAAAAGCGGAGACCTTCTGGACAACCATGAAATAGCGACAACGGTGGTGGCCATAAAAGTAAAGACTGTAACGGAGAAGGCGGACACCACCGATGATTTTTATCATTGCAACGTAATGGTAATGACAGGTAAGTCAAGTCGTTCCTGTCCATTTGCTGTCAACGTTCAAAGATATTTTGCTACCGCCAAGAAAAATTTTCAGCCAAATATACGTTTTATTTTACGGAATATAATATCCGACATTTTTAAGTTATTATATGTTCTGATAAAAACAAGGTTTTGTCATTACTATCTTTATTAATTGTCTAAAATAATTTCTAAAATTTTCCCATTAGTAGCTTCACTTCAGACTCTTTAACTCCCTTTTTTATCATCTATTAGGGTGTTGTCGTTATTATTTTTATTTTTTTCTTTCTCATGAATTTTTATTTTTTCATTTTTTTGATAAAATGCTCATGAATTTTTAAGTTTACTAACACTTGACTTGAGCAACTCGTGGATATTATTCCCATGAGCTCCATGCAAAATGAGTTACTGGGCTGGCCAGCTCAGCCGCATCTAATACCGCAGGCAAACTTGGGAGTTTTTCTTTTTTTCTTTTCTTTTGGGTTTTTTTTTGGGGGGGGGGAATTTGGTAGTCGGGAGAGGGAATGTATGTTATTTAATTTTTAAAAAATTATGATGATTTTAATTTTTTTTAATTTTAAAAATATTTTAATTTATTTATAATGTTTAATTTTATTTTAATTTTTTATTTTTTAAGAAAGGGCTTACGGGCCTGACCTTGAGCCCTGAATATGAGGGCCGGGCTTGAGAAATGGGGGTCAAAATGGAAAACCGGGCTTTAGGGCTCAGGCCCTAAAGGGCCGAGCCCATAAGGGCCAGGCCCTTAAGGGTCGAGCCCGCCCGTATTCCCAGCTCTAGTCGGGAGAGGGAATGAAAATTTTTTCATATGTGCATATATAAAGAAATAATGTGCGTGTGTATTTATATTATTTATTTAACAGTATAAATAGTATTTTATTCCTATATTTACTAAAAAATCAATTAAAATTAATCAAGTGACGATACCTTTTATAATTTTTGAGAACAACTATTAATTAAGTTTAGAAAAAAAAATTCTTTTTAAACCATAGTTTTACTAAAAGGAAATAAAGAAAGGACTTTTCAGGAGATAAATTATATTATAAGTTTTTTATTAAATTCTGTAAAATATATTGTTTCAAAGACAGAGTCTTATTCAGGTAAAAAAAAAAAAAAAAACAGACTCCGTCTTATTAGAATAATTTTTTCTATAGTATGCAATTGTACATGTGTCAGTTTGTGTATGTAACAATTATTATAATACTGTTATCATTTCTCAAACGGACAACAGCACACAAGCCCTGACTTTTAGACTTCTTCCTACAATTTTGGCACAACCTACAAAAGGAAAAATGCACGGATTGCCCCAGGTCGTACAACCCCAGTTTAAAATCTGTTGAAAACAAACATTCCAGCATATTGCCGATGTAAGAATGCTTCATTGATATATCGAAGCAAGAAATTTGAAATTTATCTAGCGACAATTAGGATATAACGTGAAGAAATTTCTTTTTGAACGAAAACAAGGATCAATCTTGTGGTAGTGAGTAGTAAAAAGATATTCAAGCATGATTTCGCATCAGGAATGCAATACTACAGATTTAGAATGCATTGCCTGTCGGAGTAAAACAAGATTTTAAATGCATAAGACTTCGATCAAGTAAATACAGGCAACAGCACTACCGTACACTTAATCACAAATAAGCACAATCAGTATCAGTGAACGTAGGACCACCTCATGGATGAAAGTGGACTTGTTTGGAGTTTGGTCCACAAGAGACAAGTGGATAAAAAGGCCACAAAAAAGAAACAACAATAATGCGTGACCAGTGGACCTACTCTCATATATAAAACAAAACAAAGGGTCCAGATGGGGAAAAAATCGAACAATGAAGAAGATGCAACTCACCCAATCAGTCCAATGGAGCGAGCCAGCACACATAGCCCATTCAAATAGCCAATCTCGACAATGTCATTGATCTCTTGAGTGGTGAACATCCCACTGCCGGCAAGAAGATCCAAGAAAAGGGACCCAGTTGCATCATCTACGTTGAGAACCAGGTTATTTGCCTTTTTAAGGGTGTAGTTTTCAACCTGAACGGCATATTCGATGTATTTCACAGAAGGACAATGGATGTTTGCAAACTTTTGTAGCAACTCTACCCTCTTATATTTGTTGTCTCTGCTCTTGATACTTTATTCATAGGGTGAAACCAAGCTTCAAACGTTTGCAACATTACAGTATCAACAACAGAAATAGAATTAGCACAACAGTCATATCGTACCCGTGCCCTATTCCTGGCACATGGATGCCCTTCTTCTTACTTTCAACAAATTCGTAAGGTGTAAGATTCTGACAAGGCATAGCATAGTCCCCATGTTACTGTTGTAGCAGAGGCTGCTGATATATATATATATATATATATGTATATGTATATAAATTAAGAAGAACAAGGTAAACAAGCCAAAGTGGCAAAGGCTGATAACATACCTTGTCAAAAGCATCCTTGAAGTAACGAGCAGCATCATCAATGGCACCACCAAATCGAGGACCAATTGTAAGCAAACCTGGTTCAGAAGCTCATTATTCACCACTGCATGGAAAAAATGGCATACTGTATCAGGACATTAATCTTAAACATACTCCATAAGGGGAAAATTCGAGGGCAATATTCACCTGATACCGGGCTGGAGACAAGGTCCTTCCCTGCCCTTGCTGTCACTACAGCATTGTGAGCACCAGAGACACAAGGACCATGGTCTGCACATAACACATGATGCATATCTGACAAAGGTGTATATATATATATATATATATTAGCAATTAAGAAGCTAAAAGAAGAAATCAATAGTTTGCTGCACAAAGCAGTATCTAAATGATACATTGACAGCACAAAGACGTATATAAAGAGCCTCAGCATCGGCCAGTTTAACGAACTATAGACACAGGAGAGAAAGGATGGTAATCAATAACCTTCCTCGATAGTGTGTGCAATAACGAGGAAGGCTGCGTTTAAACCACAGGAGAGATATAACATCACCTACACCCAAACCTTTTTCAATAATGTTAGACATGGGAATACCAGCATAGCATGGCTCCTCACCTGCAGAAAATTTGGGAGGAGACTTTAGTTCAACTATCAAGTCTAAGCCACAAAAACAATACCGCGTTACGGAATTAATGGATGATGGACCCCAACATGCCTCTATCATCAGAGATTGTGGAAACAATATGAGTTGGAGCACGGACTTTTCCATTCCTAACTGAAGAATTAAGGTCTTCAGGAATCTCTGGAGGAGTAAACTCCTTCACTGGCACGATTTTCCCTTCTTTTACCCATAAAAGTATTAGCCAAAAGCATTATAGCTAATGAAGGACACTAGAGAAATTTCTCCAAGCACTGCTCTCTTTAGGGGTTGGGATCTTGTGGAGGGTAATAAGGCTCACATTTATAATATAGCAAAAGCTCAGGATGAAAGAAAAACTGCAAACTATCCAATTTGTCAAATGTTTCCTTAATTGCAACTTCAAAAGCTTCATATGAAGTGGGAACAACAGCTCTAGCTTCTCTAAGTGCTTGATTCTTCGCTTGAGGAGACTCCACTTCACCACCACTTTTAGCTCCCTGATATATATGTGTACGAGGGCCAAGAGGCATTAGGAATGTTGTCCTCTTATAACATCCTTTAATTGAAAACTTAGTCATAGATAATGGAGAAGCAGCATACAGCATTACAGCATGACCAAATTGTACTTCAGACTTGAAGAGTCGTGCATAGGTTCCACTGACCCGGGCAACAACTGGTTTTGTCACCTTCCCGTGTTTTAAGGTTTCCACTAGAGAATACTCATCTCGTCCACCCAATTCCCCAAGTACTGCCATCATTTTAACCTGAGATTTAAAATAAATCGAAACAGTTTCGTAACAAGAAACTTTTTAAATTCTTTGAATTCTCACCAGCTGCTTATAGTTTGTAGACATGATATGCAGTCCCCCAAAGAGGGGAAAAGACAGCTTACCCGGGGGATGTTGTCATAACGCAAAATATGGTCGGAAAGTGTAGAACCAGGAAAAACATCTCCTCCAATCGCTATGCCTATAGCAAAACAAGGTATAACCCAACAATAAATTTAAGAAATACAGAAAGATAAAATTCAAACAGTGGTACCTTCATAAATTCCATCTGTTACCCGAGCAATAGAGTTGTACAATTCATTGGACATCCCACCCTACCATTCACAAAGTTTGTCTCCCCTCAGAAGCAGTATTGTAGATATTACGTGACAAAAAGAAATAATATTCAAATCTAGACGACTATTTGACTACATTCCAATATTGGGAAAAATGACATTTAAGGATCCAGTAAGAAAATTAATTAAAGTTAAAAACCATGAAATTAATTAGCTCTTTACATAATCTAGGATTTGACGTAACGTAATCTTCTGAGCTTTTAACCCCTTTTCCTTTGTTCTCTCTGGCTTTTCTATATGATTCTTGTATAGTTTGTTTGTTGGATGATATCCCCTTTTTCCCAATTTAAAAAAAGAAACGACCCCATGAAATTTTAAAATTTCAAAAAAAGACTATGGTCTTTGATTGAAATTAAAATTTTCTTGAGTTAATTTTTTTTTTGGACACTCATTTTTCATATTTTCAGTGCTCAACATTCAACATTGACTTTTCGGTATTCATTTCTAATATTTTCAGCATTTAGTTTTTCCATTTTTTTAATAGTCATCATAGATGTTTTTAATACGCATCTTCCATATTTTCAAAACTTATCTCAAACAAACTTATCTTAAATAACTTTTATTTCTACCACCTATCTTAAATAACATAAAAGATGAATACTGAAAACATTTAAGGTTATTATTAAAAAAATAGAAAAACTGAATATTGAAAGTGCTAAAGATAAATCTCCAAAAATATAAAAGATGAATGCTGAAAATATAGAAAATTGGTACCAAATAATTCACCGAAAAAATTTTAATTATAACCAAGGATCATGGTCATTTCTTGAAATGTCAAAATTTTACGGTCCTTAACTGTAATTAATGTTCTTAGATGGTCCTTAAATGTTTATTTCCCTTCAATATTTCATAATTTAAGAGATACTCTCTTCATTAAAAAATGTAAAATATTTTTAATCAAATTTTATTTCCTAGTAAATTAGTTAATTGTTTTTAAACTAACACTCTCTTTCATATTTATCCTTATTTAATAAGGTATTTCACTTAAAAATAAATATAAAATGATTTATTTATTTACTAAGGGCAATTTTTAGAAAAATACATTAATTACACCTTAAAATACTAAAAATGTCTTATATTTTGAAACATTTAACTCTTCAAAAAATACTTTACATTTTTTAATTTGGATAATTCTAAGGGAAAGTGAGCAGTTTACTGTTTTATTATGTCATAATTCTGTTATAAAATCAACAATGGGCAAGTTCAGTATTCACCAAATTATTTAATTTTAAAGGATTTTATTATCTTAGGTTCTTTCAAAAGCATAGATTAATAGATTTAAAGATGTTGATGGATGTGCTGTTGACAGATTGCAAGGTAAGTGACAAACATACGCTTGTTCTTCCATTCTGTTCTGTTCCACTCAGATATTCAGTTTTTTATCTTCACCGAATGAAATCATTCCACAAGTCAGGTTTAAGAACGAGATATGAAGGGTATGCCATCAATATAAAACCCACTTAAATACTAATTAGAATCCTCTATAGTCAGTCCTTTCTGAAACCATCAACAACTCACTCTAATACCAATTGGTGGGCTCTGGAGTAAGGTAAGGAGCCCTCCCGCAAGAGCTAATTATTGAAGTGGAAGAACTAACTCAATTAAATATCTCACAGAATATCTTAGGCTACTTAATGCGGTACTTTAGCATCTTATGCTACCGTGGTCTCCATCACTGATTTCGGAGGTTTTAGGAATTAAATCAGGATGGACAAGCAAGATAGACAAAACACAAGATTCTAAGCCCTTGTCTTTCATTTTATTGAATTTTTTGCTACAGATTCACAAAGGAAAAACAGCAAACTCATCACAATTTGGGAACTCTACTGAGCGGTGTTGTGAGTAGAGAGCAAGGATGGATAAACCAGGCATGATATCTAAAAGTAAAAAGTGCATACTTGCAAACACATACAAAATACGCCCACAACATGATTATGGGAAATTTCAGGGTTTGTACAAGATCAAAAAAGAGGTTTGTCAAGAAACGCAAAGAAAGGAAAGTAATAGATACATACAGATTTAGAAACAAAGCCAACAGATCCAGGCCTGTACAGCTTGCATTGAATTATATTGTCAATTGTTCCAGCTGTGTCACCTATCTTAAAAGCGCCAGCTTGAATACCCCCAACAGTGGCTGGGCCTATAACAACCTACCATAGCATCAGCAGTGAAATTAATTTGCCGGGCTACATTCCTTTTTTAGCCATTTGTTTGTGTAAGTATGAATTTCCATTTCTCTTCTCGCCTTATTGTTTGACGGGGCATATGCAATCAAATGCTTAGTGTCGGACTCAGGTACGCCTTCAGCAATAATAGCAACCACTCTAATTGTTGGCTGCTTCAATGCGGACATGGATGAAGCAGCAGCACTGCAAGCATATCAATCAAATCATTATCAGCCTACAGTGCATCAAGACACACCAAGTCACAAAAAAATACATAACAAAGGATTATGATCATTTTTGTTCCTCAACTTTATCCGAAAAGTCGTTGGGGACCCTAAACTCAATTGTAGATCAATTCTATTTCTCCACTTTAAATATTCCCTCCCTTATCATCCTACCGTTTTTTATTTTCCCACTATTTGTTGACCATTAGTGGGCCTGACATTACATTTTTTAATTATAAAATATTTTAGTTTAGGGTGCCCATTGACCCTTCGAATAAAAGTTGAAAAATAAAAATGACCCTTAACCCAAGAAAAATATAAAAGAGAATAATAACAGACGTTAAGTATTTTTAATAATAAGATGATAAAAGAGGATATCTTTAACATTGAGGAACAAAATTAACTCATAATTGAGTTTAGAGTTTCTAGTGACCCTCCAAGTAAAATTGAGCTATAAAAATAACCCTTAACCCCAATAATAAACACAGACCTTCTAAAGGATGCAAAATTGATGATGACATCAGCAGTAGGATGTGCAGCACAAGCTGCCTCAATGCTGCAAAATAAGCCTACACAGAGCTGAGAGCATTTTGCACCCAGTCAAACCCATATATCACTCACTACAGGTTGATGGCTTATTTTTTAGCAGTATATTGCAAATAATGAAGCCAACTAAGATGAAGAAAAAGCTCCAGGCAAAAATAAATGAAGAAAAAAGCATCGAATGATCAAATTCAAGCCTCCAAATCTAAATGTAAGGCAATGGACAGACAAGCTGCAAACAGATATGAACAAGCAATACATGCGTAGAATGCACTGGGATGGCAATTTCATCTTGACCAAAAAAGGGCTTCTGAAATCCCTCAGAACCAGGATTGATGATTCCAGCAACTGATGGAGTCTCCCTACCTATAAAAAAAAATGGCATTTTCAGTAAAAATAAGAACATACAACATGCAACTGTCCAATTTTGCTATAGTCTGTCCGACTCCAGAAGAGTACCATGGAAAACAAGCTAGAAGACGAAAAGAATCGGTACAAACCACAAAGGAAGTCAAAATCAAGCATCCGCTGGTAGGGAAGTTGCTTGTAGTTGTAAAACAATGCTTGTGTGGTGCGGGAGAACAGTTGTCCAGTTGCCATCTTGAAGAAACAAAGATCTGATGATATACAAACAGGTTATTTTTTAGTTGGCACTCAAACTGGTATTAAAAAATATTAGGGATACCACACTTGTCAACCTAAAAGCAATATTTGACAGTGATGTTATATATATATATATATATATAACAAAATAAAATAAAGTTTGCATCTCCACAAAAAAAGTTTCATGCATATAATGTATAGCTGTTTCAAGCAGCAATATATTATAATTATAAATACAGTAATCAACTGTTTCAAACAGCACATAGCTTCAAGAGGATAATTTCCCCAGGCCCAAAAAAAAAAAATTACGAGATACAATTCATGGCAATAAGGAATGCAACCTTTTAATTTTCCTTGGCCAGGGAAATCACGAAAGAAGAAACAGTATTCAAGTAAAGAATTAATCAGCAAAATGGAGGAGTTTGAGGAAAAAATGGAGAAATAAACGATACAGAGTTCTGGGCTCCTATTGTAACAAAATGAAGTTATTATTTGGCCAAAAAAATGAAGTTGAACAGTCAAGTAAAGATTCATTCAATAAGAAAGGAGATCTAGAAATTTTTTGAGGCGAAAAGTTATTTCGTTCAAACAAATTCAAGAAGGGGGGGGGGTAAAGAACTTAGCAGCCGGAAAATTTACCAGTATTGAAAAGGAAGAGAACAACGTCACACGCACACAGATAGGTAAAAGATATCACTTCCATTTACCAAGAAGAGCAAATTCAGTAATGTTTGGGGAAAAGCATTCACAGCGCTACCATCGCTAGGAAATTGCGACAAGAAAGAGAAACGTAGAGAATATATTATTTACAAAAGAATATTAATAAAATGGAAAGAAAGTAACCCGAGCAAATTCACCATCATAGCAAATTCCAAGCTGCCAAACTACTGCTCTAACTAAACAGACTTGACATCGTAACTAATTAAAAACTAACGTGAATTCGAACAATCAAGTTCAACACATGAACATTGAAGCTGAGCTACTATGAAAGCGTATCCTGCAGGATCTCCATTACTATACTGCAGGAAAATCCAAATCCACGCAATGTACGTAATTGAATCAAGTTCCAATCATTGCATGGGGACAACAACTTGGATTCCCAGAAGAAGATGCCGAGCTCTAAATCCATCATATTTAAGACATAAATAAATAAATAAATAAAGGTAACAAAATAATTAGGCACCGAATTTAAATGTGCATTGTGGAAAAACAAGTCGCAGAACTTTCAATTCAGATAACAAGACGGAGAATAGGAATTTGAATGGGCACCTTGAAAGTACAAGCCGGATATTCCAGATCGCAAGTGGAAGGAAGCAGACCGGTTGTAAAGCAGTAGAACAAGAAGAGATTAAAAGGTGAAGTAGAGGGTACCTGATTCACTGGCCTTATGGAATCAGCAGGGAAGCGTGGGGTGTGCAGTAGTAATTTGGGAGATGAGAAAACATGAAAATGGTGGGATTCTGAAGAGGCAAGAGAAAGGTTTATATATTGAGAGAGATCAGAACGGCTACGTGAAGTAAGGTAAGGTTGCTAGCTCACGGCTATTGCCATGACTATAGTATTGCTGATAGTCTCCCTTGTCTGCAGAAGAGGGGGGCTGTGGGAAGGGAAAACTAAAAATTAAAAAGAAAACCATTTTTAAGAAAATGAAAATAAGATTACAATTTTTTTGGGTGATACGATGGTTATTAAAGTAATCACGCGAGCTTCATCAAAATTATTATTTTTGTAGCCTCAAAGACAGCATGAACGTGAAGATTGTTCTGACGCCAGTTTAGGAGAAAATAAAAGAGTTACATGTAAAATTGTTTCTGGAGTTCATTCTCGCATTGACTTCATATATTTAATCAAACTGGATAAGCCTCATAAGGCGAGTGTTAGAAAATTAGTTGTTAATAAGCATTAGTTAATCATGGTTAGTTGTTATCCCAGCCCTATATAAAAAGATTAAAATCAAGCATTTAGTTAAATAGGTTTAATTCTATCTAAGAGTAGGAGATTAACATGATCTCACCTCATATTTTTCTCTTCTTTGATTTATTACCAGCGAGATTGAAATTTACGACACTAAATAGCTAAATGTTCCTAATTCTTTTTTTTTTTCTGGCTTCCTAACTCATTTTGTTTATATGGTTACTTCATTTTGCTGGCCAAAATAAAAGCAATAATTAACTCTACATGTTGAGAAGCCTAAAGTCATAATTAATTGAATTTATAGCAGATGGAGATTGGATTAAAGTTAATGTAGATGGAGCCTACTCTGCAATACATCAAGTGGGTGCTTGTGGAAGACTATACTTGCCCCTGACAGATCCTTCAAGGTGGGGTTCTCTAGTAGAATTGATGATGGAGACCACCTAACAGCAGAATTATGGGCATGCATGCATGGTTTAAAGATTGCTTGGGACGAGGGATTTCGTAGAGTGGTGCTGGAATCTGATTCTACTAATGCAATTGATTGTTACAACGCGAAGGAAATGCCCAACATGTAGATTATGGTATTATCAGGGAGGTTCGAAATTTCCTCAATAGGGATTAGGATGTTAAAATCCAACACGTGCCGAGAGAAAGAAATGCTGCAGCAAACTTTTTAGCTAAGCAAAGACTGAATGCTTTACTTGGTATTTGTTGGCAGCACTGGCAGTTAGACGTGAATGACAAGCTGCTTGAATCGTGTTCGGAAGGATACTGTCCTTAAAAACTATTTCAGTACACTGGGATGATGGACCAACAGTTTTTCGTGATTAAACAAGCACTTCCTACGGAGCAAGGAACCAAAACAGCATAAACTAAAACACACTCAGATGAACAACACATCAGATGGCAGAAGGAGGAGAGAATTGGCTCAAAAACTCAAGATGCTGGTGAGTTGCTCTGTCTGCACCCATGGCTATATATAGCTTGAAGATGGAGACGTGAATGTTGGCTCATAATCACCTAATTAAGACATTGGTTACACTCTCATAAATCACGTTTAAACACCATTAATTTGGAGACGTTGGTAGACACATGCGTTTAAGACATTAGCTCAACAAAATTAGTTTTTAGAAGTGGTCTAATGTCCAAAAAAATTGCCAAAGCTTCAAATTTAAATTTAAAACAACAAAATTTGAGGTTTTTCATGTAAGCTAAAAATAATTATTTATCAAATTATTTTTGTAAAAATAATTTGATAAAAAAAAATCTAATGCCTCTTGAATGTGTTAGCCTATCTCATATGCACAAGCTCACTTCTCCTTCAAACCCATTTTATTAATTCACTTCATTCTTTAATATTTATACATTTAGAGAGTTCTTCATTTAGGCAATATGAGACTTTTGACACACACACAATAGTATTCATGTATTCACAAATGTCTTCCCTGACCTCCTTAGCATTCTTGATAAGGATGGTTCTAATGTGGTTGTAAGGAATGGTTAATTAGTTTTGGTTTCGGTTGTTATAAAAAAAAAGAAAACATAACTGATTAAAACCCAAAAACATTTCAGTTTCTTGGAAGAATCATTCAATACTAATCACTTAACACTGACAACAGAATTAAAATTTTAAGAAACAGGTTTTAGAGGCAGAGAGTGCTAACAGGAAAAAAAAAAATGAAACGAAACAGACGCCATGAAGAAAGTGCGAAGATGCGTCCAAGAACATGGTCCGCGAGAAAAGTGACTGCTCATATATATATATAGAATGAATTCATAGGCGTTAATCATATTACTTAAATCTAATTTATTATACAAGTATTTCTATAAGTACTTTTTTAACTGTGAGATATATATTCTAGTAATAGTCCGTAACTCAGTTTACTTAAATTTTTGTTTGCTTATTACAGAAGTCAAAATTTGAATTTTGAATAATTGATCTGCCTAAAAGATAAGAGCTCCTGCATGCTAATCTTGATTCATAACCTATTTCGACTCTGAATATCTGCCCCTTCGATAACTATTGTAAACTATTTTAATTAAACCAGCATCCATCAAGAAAAATTGTTTATTATTTAATTATAAAGAATAGATAAATTGGATTATAACATTTTAATAAAAACAAGGCAAAACTTAAGTACTTAAGCTTATGTCCTAAATATACTTTCCTTTAATATATTATTGCCACTTGGATGTTTTTTTCCAGCTCATTACTTAACTCTCTTTAACAGAGATTTCCATTGCTGGCTATCAAAAATGGAAAGAAAATAAATAAACCTAATTTCTTGTCTCAATTAACGCTCCAAGAATTTGGTCCTCACTTATTAACCTTTATCGCCGTTGCAACTTTTCCATGACACCAGTCTTCACCTTCCATCGTTCGAGGATCGCAAGAATTGCTTGGGGTAAAAAGGATTGATAAGGGGTGAGCGAGGCAGGAGCTTAGAGAAAAATTTAAGGGCTACAACATTTATGCTATATGAGCAAAGTATGGAAGAGAATGAATCTAATGTCATAGTTTTCGTGTGAGCGTCAAGATGATTCAAAATGATTGTAGTAAGATCAAGATGAAAATGAAGATGACCATGACAGTGTGTCTGCAAGTGAGATTTTAAGGGAAGGGAGTTTGGCTTTGAAAGGGGGGAGAGAGTAAAGAGGAAGGAGGAAAGTTTGACTGAGACACGAAAGTTAGACGATTCAAAGACTTACGATTTAAAGACTTACAACGTCAATTGAAACAAGAAATTGAGTTTTGACTTATTTTCTTTCTAGTTTTGACTTAAGGAGAGTTAAGTAACAAGTTGGAAAAACATTCAGGTGCCAATAATAACACAAGCTTAGGTAGAGCTAGAGAAACGAGCAGACTCGACCTTTACGGGCCTGAGTTTTTAAGTTTGATTTTTCATGTTTTACTTTTTTCTGAGACAAAGCCCTTATTTGAACAACTCAAAGCTGGGCCCATAAGTCCTGTTCAAAAAAAATTAAGCACTATAAATTAATTAAGATATTTTAAAATTAAAAAAAAAATCTTCATGATCTTTTAGAAATTAAACAACACACATTTGAAAGTCTTGTAAGGAAATTCAAATCTTGGTTAAAAAAATAATTTATTTTTTTATAAATACACAAATATAATAATTATAAAAATAAAAAATATTAGAAATTTTATATTATACACTGATATTTATTAAATTATATTAAATTAATTTTAAAATGCATTAAATTAATAATAATAAAATCATATAGGATTAGGGCTTCAAGCGAGCAGGTCTTTTTTGGTTTCAAATGTGTGTTCCACAAAAAAAAATCAATAATACTATATAGCGACTTGAAGTTTACAAAATTTATCAAAGTTAGGCTCTAAACTTAGTTACTTTAAAAAAATAATTTTTAAAGATTAAACTTTATTTAAATAAAATCTCTAGATTGACCCTTATTTCAGCTTTAAGCTTAAATACCAAAGTTTTGTACTAAAATCAAATAAGTTAGTACGGACGAATCTAGAGTGCTACGTAAGGGGGGGGGAATTTTCAAATTTTATAAAATACAGGGTATAGAAGTAGTTTTACCATTTTTTACAAGGAAAATTTAACCGAACGCGAAGGAAGTAAAAAATATAGCATGGCAAGCACCCCGGTATGCCACCGTTAAATCCGTCCCCGCATAGAGGAAAGAGGTGTATATTTATTTTTTCATTAATTGTTTTTTTTAAAAGGGCAAATATTTAAAAAAAAATTCAAACACATCAAAAGAAAGTGCCCAAACACAAATACATACAAAGGTGGATAATTATAAACTCTCAAAGTCTCTATAATTGATAGTGAGCCAATGAAGTACCTAACTAGCGAGTACCTGAATGGATCAATTTAGATGTTTTATCAGTGTAATTCTACAATGAATGTGGATGTAGTTTATTGAAAAGGGTGATAGCTCCAATAATCCGATCTAGTTTAAGTGATATATGCATTGATAACATATGGCAGGAAAAAAAAAACTTATAATCTCTTAAATTTACTTTAGTTATTGATTTAATCCCTCAACTTTAATTTTTATTAATATGATCTAGAGACATGATACAAAAAATTGTTAAAATTACTTGGTTTTTCTTTGTCAAAAATGGTAAAATTAATTTTAATCCCCA